TTTTTATTAAAAATATATAAATCTATTTTTGAGATAGTTTTTAAAATAAATAAATATTACATGTATTTTTATTTAAAATAAAGTGAGGTAGATTTTGGGTTATTGGAAATGGAAACTTAATGAGAAAATTACTTGATGTCAACAAAGCCACAAGTTTTTATTTTAATTTTGAAATTTTTTTTAACTTTTATATTTTCATATTTTGAGGGTTTTTTAAATAATTTTTTGAAATTTAGATTTATTAGAAGAAAATTTCAATTTAAACTATTGAAAAATAAAATAAAATCTGCAATAGGAAGAGAGAGACTGTGAAGGAGGAGAGAGAAGATGAATGGAAGAAAAGGTAATAGATGAGGACTCTTTAATAATTTTACAGTTTAAATTTACAACATCACCCACCCAATGCCATATCAGCACCAACCCATTTCTTGGTTGTGGAGTAACAAGGGTGTGGACGAAAAGATGACATTTGATGAGGTCATCGTCAGCAGAAGGGCTGATTTGCGGGTTTTGTCAAGTGGAGGGGCTGATTTGCTCTACTTTTAGGTAGAGGGGCTGATGTGCCACAACAATGGACGTAGAGGGGCTGAATTGCACCTTTTGCCTTTTTTTTTTTCTCTCGGGTTGCAGCGGGAAGAAAGAAGAGCAGATGCGCGGGCTGAAGAAGAAGAAAGAAGAAAAAAAGAAATAAGCCATCCTTATCCAAATTTATCCTCTTTTAAGTCCCTCGAGTTTGGGAATGTTGGCTATTAAGCCCAAAACAATATTTCTTTCTCAAACAAGTCCCTAACTCGTTTATTTATTCTAGAAATTTTTGGGATATCACACTACTTAAGATCTTTATAAATCCATTGGCAGTTAAGGAAGGTTTATGATCATTTTGTTAATGAAATATGCCTTGTTAGGTTGTTAGCTTGTAACTTTGATCTATGATCTTTAAATAAAGCCTAGAGTCCAAGTGTAGAACTCCTTTGGCTGTAATCTATACCTACGTTTGGGAATTTGAAAAAGACTAGGTGTCTATACTAATAGTTAAAGAAAACCAATTTGTTCTTTCTTTGGTAGGGAATATTTTGGTGGCCTAAATTCTACAATACTTAAAGTGGTAGAATTTTGGTTTCTACACCTATTGATACTAATAGGTCATAGGAAGACTATTGCAATTATAATCTACTTAAAATACTTTATCTCTTAAATCGAAGTGTTACAAGGAAAGAGAAGATTTTCTTTTCTTCTCCTTTTCTTCCTTAATTTTTGCCACCCTTAGCCCCTATTGGACTAAGAGTGCATCATGCATCATGCACTTCCTTGTGCATATTGCCACCCAATTGGTCCAATATAGGCTAGGGTTCGGTTGTAAGGCTCACTTAGCCTTAGTTGCCACATTTGTATTCCTTGTTCTTAACATTAAACAAATCTAAAATTGGATTAATTAATTAAACTAAATTAATTCACTCTACCATTTTTATTTTTGGAACTTGGTTAATTTATTTCTCTTGTAAAAATAATATTTTCACATAAATTAGTTTATTTTCATTAACTTGGATTTATAGAAATGTTAATCCCCACAATGCACTAAGTTTGTACACTCTAGGTTTCTATCACAATAGTAGAGAATATGCCTCGCAAACCAAGAGTGGTACCTAGCAACACATTATGGCCACCAAAAGTGAGAAATGTCAATGGTTTCGATTAACCTTCCTATGACTAATACACCATAATTCAATTACTTTGTCACAGATATTTTAATCAAGCAAGATACATTTTATGTGTTATCATTTGTAGAGCTTAACATGTTTTCTCTGATTCCCAAGATAGATGTATTTTTTGAATGAACTTTTTCATTCATGTTATGATCTTGATCTTGTAAGTAGTCTTATCTTAATGAAAGCATTTTAATATATCTTTTCTCTTTAAACTTGAGAAGGATGAATCCTTTATTGACTCTCCCATTACCCTCATGTGATTTGTGATGAATCCAATAACTATATTATTCATAATCCCTTACAGTAGTTTTTAACGACATTAAAGTACACGAGTCTTCACATATAATAATGATGATTGCAAGTTAAAGAATCACTTATATTACCATCATAGCTAAGAAACTATTAATGACATGTGCAAATAGTAGTCTCTTGGTGGATTAATCTAGTGCACTACTTACTTTGAGCATTTCACATGTGATATGTGATTTTATGAGAAGTCTTGCCACCTAGCAAAATATCACACATGTTAGTCTTCACATCAATTGATGTCCTATCTCAATTATGAATAATATTAATGGATAATTTAAAAATGTGGCTACCACATTATATACAGTTCTCACTAATAATGATGGCTATTATTACCTTTTAATACAACAAACATTTTAATGACTTTATTGACATTAATGTACACATTGTTGAGGGTCGATCTTGTCAAACAAAAGGAAGAGTCCATGTTGGATTGTCAATCCCAAATTCAAAGCCAAACATAAAAGTGAGTTGATGTCATTGTCCATGTTAGATCGTTAGCATAGATTCAAAGTCAAATACAAAGGTAGTCAACAATATCTTATTGTCACTATGCCAATAGTAGAAACCTTAAAAGGGGAAAACTGGTTAACAACAAAACATATAGGGCTTCTACCGTCATAGGCAAAGGGCTAAGGTCTCCACCTTCATAGGCAATAGACCAAGGCTTGCACTGTTGTGGGCAAAAAGCCAATCTATCAAAGGCATTGTCTCATTCACATGATCTTAAATTCATCAAAAGATGGGCCATCCTTTAGCAGTGGCCTCATGTAAGGTAGTGTGCTGCTCGATAGGCAAAACAATCAGGACTACCCTTTAATGAAGTCATATCAACTTCAAGTTCCTATCATTTGTACACAATAGGCCACACCATCAGCAAAATTCCTACTAAACATGAACAAATGGTCCTTGCCACAATAGCTCTCTGTAATTGATACAAACAATGGGCTTATGTTTCATGCTTGGGCAAAACTGCCATTAACTATGGACAAAGGGTTCTCACCATAATAACTACTTGTTATTGATATAGACAATGGGCTTATATTTCATTCTTATACAAAACTTCAGTTAACCATGAACAAAGGGTTCTCATCATAAGAACCCCACATCATTGATACAAACAATGGGCTAAATTTCATTTTTGGTAGGACTCCCCACAATTTTAGACAAAGGGTCTGTGCTATGATAGCTTGTCATTGATACAAACAATGAACTTAACTTAAAAAGGCATTTACTTGTTCAGCTAGAAACCTAACAAAGAAGTAAACCATTTACTAGCAATCATTAGCAATAATAAAGTGAGATTCCACTTTCAATAAGGTTGTCACTATTCATGGCTAACAAAAAGTTTGACAAAAGCCGTTATTGTTGAAAGCTAACAAAAGTTTGTCAAAGGTTGTCATTATTCATGACTACCAAAAAGTTTGACAAAGGTCATCATTGGTCACAACTATCAAAAGTCTAATAAGAGTAGTCATTATTTGTGATTGAAAAAATTATGTTAAATCACCATTGTTCGCAGTTTTCCAAATACTACCTAGATTGCTCATTAAACCTTACTCACCAAAACCTGCTCATTGAACCTTACTTGCTAACCCTTGCCCACCGGCACCCACAAATCAAATGGCAAAATGACATTACCTAACCATGTGGAGGCAAAGTTTGTCAATTTGTAGTAGGGATTGTTGACTACAATGGCAATAGTTGGCAATGAACCTTTGATAAAGTTTGCTTGTCATTCATAATTCATCCAAGATATTATTTTTGTAATAGATTTGTATATGATAGAAAATATGCCATTGTATAGGTTGTCAAACATGTGGAACCAAACCTATAAAGATAACAAGAATGGCTATAAGAGTAGTAGCATGGAAGGCGTGGAATGACTAATCTTATCTTGTTGTCAAAGTGGGATGTCAGTGTGGTAAAGCTTGGTGCCACCCTGGTCAGTCCCTTTTCTAATGAATAGAGGAGAAAGGTTTGCCAACAAGTGGAAAATGCTTGTCAAAGAGGTAAAGCTTATTCCTTCTTATTCTTCTTGTCAAACCCAAACCTAGGAGAAAATATGGGGACATCCTATTGTCCAAGGCAATTTGATTTGTTTAAAACCACTATGCAAAATAGTGAATCCATAGTCTTTATTGTGAATTTTACAAAAAAATGTTTTTGTTTTGTAGGCCAGTGAGGCAAAGATATCCTACCAATCCAACATCTTTAGATTTTGGCCAAGACAACACATTGCCCAATAGGTAAAAAGGGGGGGGGGTGTACTAAGGTTGCCAATGATGGACACGTGTCCTCATTCAACTTGAGATGCCCATCCAATGGCATTAGATCATCCCACTTCATAAAATTACAAAATTACCCTAGGTACTCTAAATACCATTTTCTTCGATTTCTTTATAGGGGTCTTTAGGTGATTTTCTAATTTTCTTGTAATCTTCAAAATCCTTTCTCTATTTGTAGCACTTTCTCTCTTAAAAGCCCACTCATTTTTCTCCATTTTGATCCACAACTACTCATCAAATCCACAAAACATTTCATCAAAGCTATGGATCTCATCAAGGGCTACAAGATGACAATCTCCAACCTATGATTCTCCTTCTCTTCTAAGAGTTCTTAGTACAAGTTTAACTATTGCTGCCAAAGGAGGAATCTTCTTCATCTTCATAGAATTAATGAGCTCCCATGGTGATTATCTCTTGACAAATATAGCGTTTGCACCCTAAAAGGTAAGCTCTTTAGACCTATCAATGCTTCTCCTGCCTATCTCTTTGTAGTTCTTTCTCTTTTGCAATGAAATATGAATGCATTGCAATCTATAAAATGAGAAAAGCATGCATTTTTCTTTCATCAATTGTATGTCTTTTTGACAATTATTATATATTTCATCCAAAAAACTAGTTGCTACTATTCTATCAAAGTCCCATAATTTGTCAATTTTTTTGCGATGAAGTTTTTTCAAGGCTTTGCCTTTGTTAGTGTCACACCCCAGAACCCAAATCCGAGGCGCAACAAACGCCGTGCACTCGTGAACGGGTTCCACGAATGCACAAAGCTCGGAACTTATCCAATTCATGTCTGACAATTCAATAACTAAGCTTGGATATTTTAAAATTAATTCTATGTCCAACATGACTTAATCTCAAAACCTCAAGGTCGACTCTCTTGTAAACTAACAATCCATTAAATGAATTTATAAAATCTCCAATTAAACTCTAGTTTACAAGATCATGATCCGTATTTACAATCTATGTTCACTTTACAGAATGGCTAGCCTTCTAACTCGTCACTCCCCTCGTTTTTCCCTTCCTCGGTATCGCTTCTTGAAATGGTGGACAAGGAAAACTATGAGATAACTCAGTAAATAAATATGAATAGCCTTTGGGTAAAACTTTTAAGCATGCCAGATAAACCATGTAGGCATAACAGAACTTTCAATGATAAACTGTTAAAACAAAATCAGATTTAGTTCAATAACAAAATGTTTCATGACAAACCGTTTATGTAGAAGAAAATTCAGTTCAGTAGTCTCATCTATAAGTCATGGCCAGCGTTTATAAACCTCTCACTAGTGGGCACAGCAGTTACCAATGTTTAACCCATTGGCAAAGTTACAGAAGTACCAGTGTTTAACAAACTCCCACTGGCAGGCGTCAGTAATGGTACCAGTGTTTACAACTCACACTGGTAGGCGACAGTAATTATCAATGTATTCGCCCATTGGCAGGCTCAGTAGTACCAGTGTTTACAACTTCCATTGGCAGGCTCAGTAGTACCAGTGTTTACAACTTCCACTGGCAGGCGACAATAATTACCAATGTATTATCCCATTGGCAGGATAAACCGGTTCTATTAGTAAACATGTCGACATGTGCTAGCGTTTATAAACCTCCCACTAGCGGGCACAGTAATCATGACTATATCCAAGACAAAACCATGTAGGATTTCCAGAAAAATCCATAGTTCACAATCAATCTCAAATTTCAGAAATAAATCGAAAAATTTCCATGTGACCATGGGTTTAACAGAAAAACTCAAAAAACTCTCAGTTCATCAAAACAGTTCAGTCAATTCCAAATAAGCATGCTTTACTCAATGCAAGTGAAAAACAATTTCATGTGGGCATGCTCAACTCTAGAAAACAATGAAACTCCCACTTTCATTCCAATCATGCTCAATTCCAGAAAAACAATGATTTTTATAAAAATCATCACAATTTTCATTTCAATTTAATCACACAGATGCTAATAAAATCAATTTAAACCTTGTCACCATCTCAAAAACAGTTTAAAACATACTTTAAAATCGAAGGGCTTTATCATAATTTACTTACCTTACTCGCACAGAACAGAAGGCTAACCCAAGTGCTACGATGACAGAACGATCAAAACCTAATCACAATATTCCATAATTAATACCGCACTACCATAAATTCAAAGTAAAATCATCATTAGCACTACCCCTAATCACAATGCTATTTTTATCAATCTCCACGTAACCGGACATCTCCAAATTCATTCTTATATCACAAACTAAACATTTAAATCCCCGTGTGTGTGAACAGTGCCCGTGAACAGTACCTCGTAAACAGTAACTTCAACTTCCAAAATTGACAAAATAATAACTAATCTCACGGGATTTTCTCCAAAATTACAACAACCCATTTCAAGCTAATCTCCACTTAACTTACACAAAAACCCACTTAAAGCTACCAACTCCCGGGATAGAAAAATGGAGAAAATGACTCGGCAAAACCACACCCACACACGGGATTTTCACACAAAACATCACAGCAGCCAATTCAAGCTAAATCCTACTTAATCAAGCTTAAAACACATTTAATTGCTGCTAAATTCTACCGGAATTCATCCCCATTTCCGGCAAATTTTCGGACAACACAGGAAAATTCAAACAGCAGCTAAATGGGTGAAATTGAACTTAAAGGAAGCTGTCCATACCGAAATTCAATAAGCAAGGCCGGAGCTGGCGGCTTT